CTCGTAAAAGATGCAGTCTAAGCTCCGAATCTTTCTTAATGTCCCATTTTCTGGGCATTCCTACTTTTCTGATAATAGGAATCTCGTCTAACTCAGCAAGCATATCAAAAAACTCAATTCTTTCGAAACATTCAGCATCTACAGTGTCTCTCCTTGATCTTCGCGACATCATACATATTTTATTGATCAGCTCTTTTAATTTTGATGTATCTTTCTTCAAAAACTTCTCAACTGCCAGTTCATTGTCATCAGTTAAGCGCCCAAAGTTCATTATTGTCTTAAAATACATGTTATCATTCTCTCTAATTTCCTTCTTATGAGATAAATACGATATAATTTTCCTTACTCTCTGGTTAATATCGTCTCTGCTTTTGTCTTTATAATCAAAATTGTCATAGCCCTTCGTGAGAACAAGATTAACCAGTGCCTTGTCATCTTCACATGACCATCCACGTGTCTTCTCTACTAATAGCTCTTCGGTTGTAGTTAGACTTTTCAGGATCAAAGGAATCTGGATTTTAAACAAAAACTTCTCATAATATTTCAGATATGTGTCGGACTGCGCAGTAAAAAGATGTGGGTCGTAATCTAAATAAAACTTATCAAGACCAACAGCGAAATCATTCCTCAGTCTTTGTGAAGGCAAGAGATCGATGCAATACTTAATCAAATATCTCAAGTTGTCAGCTGTGTGGTTGAAGCTATCAGAAAAAATATCAATACCAACATCAAATACGCCTTTGTGAAGCACGGTGACAAACACTTGAAATATCTCTAACTCCTCTTTACTCATTTTATTTACCACAACATTGTCTTTTTTACTAACATACATTGAATACAAGATCTTGAACTGTTCTTTATCTTCATCTGAAATGTTGCCTTCACGTGAAAGCCTTCTACACTGTCTCTTGATTCTTCCTTCACTCTCTTCAGATTTCTTTTGGTTCAATAAATTATCCCAGAAGTCCGGATCATCAATCTCTTCATCAACTTGGAAAGTGGCTTTAGAAAACACATTACCTCCCTCACTATGCTTCACTACTTTCGTACGCCTTTCAAGAATCTGGTCAATATCTTCTTCACAAAACTTCTGAGATGCATCATCCGTATCCATCAATACACCATATGCGCCTTTTCTAAGTAAAAGCTGAATGGCATCTTCTTTCTTTAGATTTGAGTGGACATCCCCTTTAGTTTTCTCCTCTTGTCCTTCAAGATAATTCATTTTCTGCAAAATAGCTTTATCAAGTCCTAGTTTTAGACCCGCCTTGTCAAACATCTCTCTTTCATATGAATTTCTAGTAATAAGTCTGTAGATTTTAACTTCGTTCTTCTGTCCGATACGGTGACATCTTGCTTGGGCCTGTAAGTCATTCTGAGGATTCCAGTCTGAATCAAATATCACAACAGTATCGGCAGCAGTAAGATTAATGCCCACTCCACCAGCACGAGTGCAGAGTAAAAATACGAACGCATCACCCGTGGAGAATCTATCAATAGCAGCCTGTCGAAGGTCTCCTCTCACCCCACCGTCAATACGCTCAAATTTATACTCTCTGTATGTGAGATAGTCTGCAAGTAAATCAAGACATTTGGTCATCTGACTAAATATCAGCACCTTATGCCCATCTTTGAGTTTAGCTAACAACTTGTCTAGCAAAACTAACTTTCCTGAGCTTTGGATCATGATCCTATGGTATTCGTCGGAATCTGTCATTGCATATTCACCTATTTGAATTGGCTGGAAATTCTTGGCAGGATTTTGTGATGTTGCTTGCGAGACGTCATCAACTCCTGAAAGCCTTTTTCTCTTTAAATAATCACCGATAATCTTTTCTTCGGCACCTTTAATGAGATATGGATGAATGCAGCACTTCCTCAGCTCCATCATAGCATTAATGAGATTGGGTGCATTGGATCTGTCGCCCTTAGTAAGAAATTCAATGTTCTTTTCTAGAATAGCCCGATAATATCTCTTTTGAATGGTTGTTAACTCTACCTCAATAATGGTTTCCTCTTTCATTGGAATAGTGGTCTCAACATCTTCCTTCATCCTTCTTAACATTAATGGTTTAAGCACATTCTGGAGTTTCTGTACATCCTCCGACTTTTCCATTTTAAACTCCTGCAAGAAATTATTGAGATTATCAAATCTAATTGGATCAATGAAATTAAAGAGAGACCAAAGCTCATTAAGATTATTCTGAATGGGAGTGCCGCTGAGAAGAACTTTGTGAAAAATAGAGAAGCTTCTAAGACAAGATGCAGCCTTGGAAGACGTGTTTTTAAGTCGGTGTGCTTCATCAAATACTGCTACTCCATACTCAAATTGCATTAGATGGTCAGCACCTGCCATTGCCATTTCATATGTAGTAATAATAACGTCAAACAGTCTTACAGATATATTGCCTGTTTTGATGGCAAACTCATACTCGTTAATAATATCTCTTCCCATAATCGAACCATGATATGTTAGTACGCGTAGGTCTGTCCAGTTCTTAAACTCACGCTCCCAGTGAACAATAGTACTAAGAGGTGCTACAACTAATGCAGGCGCACAGTAGTCAAATTCACAAAACAACGAGTTAACAAAAATAACACTCTGGACAGTTTTACCCAGCCCCATCTCATCAGCCATGATGCAACTTTGCTTAAAATACCATCTATTCAAAAGCCAATTAACGCCCTCTATCTGATAGCTGCGAAGCGTATTACCATTTTTATACACTTTGCTTTTATCAAACTTAAGCTGATTTTCCTTGGAAGGCCTCCAATCCAATGGCAGTTTCATGTGCCGCATTCTCTTTCTATCTCTATACGCTTTTATCTCAACTTCAAAATTCTCACACTTCTCAGCATCAGCAGTTAACTCAAAAGTAGCTGCCTCGTACGGAAGCTTCATCCATTTTACTAGCACAAGCTTGTTGCCCTGCTCGTCTTGTGTCTCGTGGATAATTCTCTCAATTTTAGTATAATCCTGATCCACATCAATTTTTTTAAACCTTTTTACTTTCATTGCACCCACTCTAGTTGACTTGATTTCATCGCGTGGTATCCATTCGCAATGAAGATAGCTTTTACTTCGGATTTTAACAAGGTATGTGTCATTTTCTTCATCATAATCTAGCAACTTTTCATATGGATCTTCTTCCACAAATGATTCAACACTCATAATTTCAGACGAAATGCTCTCATCAGATGAATGCCGTTTCTTCTTGCGTGGCATCATGGCCCTGACTGCAGCTGACCTTCTTTCTCTTCTCATAGCAGTGGCTGCAGTTGGACTCCTGTCTGGTGACAATACAGCAATATTTCTAGATTCTGATGCACCGTATTTCAGGGGATTGGTGCACGGCAATCCTGAAAAATTCGCATTCAGAATTGTAGGCTGGGTGTACTGAAATCCAAGTGGCGTGTTGTACACGTAAGGACTGAATTTAAAGTACGTTGGCGCTTTCTTTGGCCTTCCCCTGTGCCTAATTGTTATTTCTGCTTCGTTAGAATCGTACATGGGTTAAAGTTTTTACAACTATTTATTTACTTGAAAATTTTGCAAACAAAAATATAATGCAACCATAAAAAGGCATATGGATGTGCTATAACTATGATTTTAGTCGCCGTTTATGTTTTTATATGAATTGCAGTATTTTAATTGTTTTTGTTTAGTGATAACGGCTTGCTGTTCAATTATGAAAAATCAAAGCATCAGACACATGCCATAGTCTGAACCAGACACTAAGATAGCATGCCCAGTACATATTAAGCAGCCAAATAATACATAACAAATAGATTAAAATAGGATACTTTTCCAAAATTCATTGAACATTTGACAGTACCCTATATGATTCTTCTGAAAATTCTCTATGAATCGACGCAGTCTTCTTTAGCAGCCCCGAAATCCCAACATCACCTATAAATGTCTTCATCCCTCGTAGAGCCTCAAGAGACTTTGTATTGAAATCGCTGGCCAGTGCATCAATCTGCACCTTCGAACTACTTCCTTCTTGGATTTTCTCTTCTAGATCGTATCTCATATCCTCTGCCTTTCTTCTAAGACCATCGATTGTTTTGGATTCTTCCTTTAATATCTTTAGGGATCCAATGACTTCCTTGAGTTTATTATTCATCTCAGTCTTAGCAGCAGAGATCTTTTGGTATGCTTCAGAGAACTTAGATCCAATGGCTTTGATTGAACTACTATGAGTTGTGTTTGACAGCTCTTCTCCAACAATAGCAGCCTGAGTGTAAATGTCGTTGGACCCAAACATTTTGAGACTGGTCGTAGATGACAGCTTGTTTCCTAGCTTTGCAAAATTTTTCATTACAGCGCCTCCAAATTCATAGTTTGATAGATTTTCTACCACAGCAGTCAAAACATCAAGCTCATTCCTTAATCTTCTGTATTCTGTGTTTACTGCATCATAATCATGGGGAAAGTTGGTGTTAAGAAACTCAACTTTCTTTATTCTTCTTGTTACATACCTTTTTGCATCATCCAGAATCATAATAGGGGGCACTGTCTAAAATAAAAAGATAAAAGGACCAATCACAAGCAAGCAGGAAACAAACATTACATTTTACTAGTGTATCAGAATCAATGTACAGCTTGGGAATATGCATGTGATCGATGTTATTTATTTTGATATTTTGTTGCTGTGCTTGCTTTGATTGAAGTCCAGCCAACCAAGTTAAATATTAAATAAATCAAATATTCAACAAAACCAGCTAAAGGAAATCCATTTGATTGATAAACCCTTAGATTCACAAACGCTAATTTACTGTTTAAATGTAATCTGACTCGTTGGAATCTGCATTCCACTCGCTGTAATAACTGTTGCATGTCTTTATTTTATCTGTTAATCTATCAATGCTTTCACCCTCGTTGATTTGTGCTAATTTGTTTTCAAGATCCTCAAACTTCTTTTGCAAATTCTCGGTTTTGGCCATCATTTCTTTGAGTGTCGATGACGTGTGGTAGGTTTTGACTGATTCAATCGACGCATTATCATCTGCCTTGTCCATAAACAGTCTATCAAAATTATTCATTTGAACCGATCCACCATTTCCCGCTGGCTCCATTTCCTTACTATAGTTTACTTCAAGTTTAGGCCGCGGAACGTTGGAGTCATCTACAAATCCGCCAATGAAATCATTGTTCTGCCTAGCATCTTCACCGTAATCGTGATCCAAATTAAATAGCTTTAAATATGACATGTCATGATTAGCTGTTTTTGGAACTTCAGCTGAGGGATAAGGTGTATAGGTCGTCGCATAGTTTGACACTGGCTTGTAATTCGTCTCAACAGGTTTATACAATGGTGTCTCTACAGGCTTGCTATAGTTAGAAATCATTTCTGTAGGTTTGCTGTAGCTAGATAGGATCCCAGTAGGTTTGTTGACATCATACTTGGACGCAAGCCCTGCAGGCCTGTTGTAATCCCTGAAACCTAAATAAGAAGCTGGTGTTTCATATTTATACTTGGGATACTTATGTTCTACTGGAAATGATCTAAAATCATCCCTTAATCCATGCTCAGAAGGCTTAACCGTCTCCTTTTTGTTTAGAATACTCCTAACTTTTTCTCTAAACTCATCATCCTCTATGTTGATGTTTTTTGCTTTTACATTCTAGCTTTCTTTTTTCATTTTCTAAGTCAGAAATCTGCTTTTTATATTTTTCATTTTTGTCATTCAAATCCTCGATCTTCTTAAGAAGTGAGTCAGATGTATCTTCAGGTGATCTAGTCTCCTCTGCACCTACCTTCAATTTATTATTTTCTTGCTCTAGTTTCTTTATTATCTTCTTCCTTCTTTTTAATTTTTCTTAAATTTCATAATATAACCTTCAATGTCTTTGCTATATTCTCCCATTTTCAGCATTTTATTCAACTGTGAATTCAAATATGCATTCTGTAAATTCAAACTATTGTATAATCCTTCATAATATACACTGCTCTCCTTGTATTTTTCATGCTCAACCTTCAATTTCTTATTTTCGCATAAGACTTTACTTAACTCACTATTACATAGTGCCATATTTCTGTCTTTAATTTCAAGCTTTTTATTCAGGGCATCTACAAATGACTCAAGTTCAGCCATCCTTGTTTTCACACTTGAATTCTTTTCCTCTTCATTCTTTTTTTCTAATGTCAGTGTTTGTATCCTATCATCCTTGTCCTTGATCACTGTATTTAAGGCCTCAAGCTCCTTTTCATAAATGCCCATTCGTTCATTTGCCCTTGCCCTTAGATTTTCAATTTCATCTATCTTGGCCTTAAAAAACTGTACCTCATTCCTAGCCTTGATGCTTTCTTCCTTGAACTCTGTCATTCTGTTTTTCTGATCCATAATGATTCTGTTTAGTTCCTCAACATTTACTCTCTTAAAATCGAGCTCACTCTTCAACTTATCAATGTAAATCTTGTTGCTTGTGTTAGTAGACTCAAGCTCTCTCTTATTTCTTTCTAAACCCTGGTTTTCCTTGATCAGACTATTCTTTTCTTCTGTGGTCTTCTTTAATGTTTCAAGCAAAGTCTCACACACCATGCTCATTTTTATATCACTCTTTAATATGACATCTTTTAGCGCCTGAGAATTTTCTGTTTGGAGTGCTGCATTTATCTCACTGTATGTTTTATTGAGAGATTCCAAGAGTGTAAGAATGTTCTCGTCATCGGTATGTTTGCTGATTGGTTCTCTCTGTGGTGTGTTTTCTTTAGATGCAATGAGGGCTTGTATTTCCCTATTTACATCTGCATAGCTTCGGAATTTTTCCTGGCTTTCCATGAGAAGGAAATTTTTGTGTTTTTTATTTCAAAAAAGGCGGGAAGACAATTCCGATACAGGAGACTACACTAAAAACCAAAGTACTTCAATTACTAGCGAAGCAGCATAGGTTTCCTGATGTATTAAATCCATTGCCAAATCATTTATATTCAACAGTAACACCGATATACTTGTATAAAAAGCATTTTAATAATTAAACCTATCACTTGTCAAAACTAAACCTCAAAAGAGTAGCCTCGGAAACCCTCCTTTCAAGATCTTCGTTCTTTTCTAATTCCACAAACTTTACAGACGATCCTCGAATTGAGCATAAATCTAATTTCTGCAGTCCCATCCCATCGTGTTCTATTTTTGCAGCTGTAACCTGTAAATTCAGAAAGTGGTCTACGTTATTGAGTATTCCCGTAATTTTCATTTCATTTTTAAGCACAATTGTGACTGTCTTGCTCAGATGTCTTTTGAAGTACTCAAGGAATATCATTTATCTATCTTTAGGGGCCGAAAATGTGCAGCCATAAAAGTATACCCTACTCCCAGCATAGATCTGCACTGGTTTACAAAAGCTACAAGAAGTGCAAATTTAATACTTTGTGTTCTTGGCCTGACTGGCCTTGTCACAGATTGCTAAATGGCAAAAAGAACTTCAAAGAGAGTAAGTGAAAGAAAAAAAACAAGAACCGCAGTGAGGAATGCCAGGAAAGAAGCAAAGCTAAAAAGAGAAATGAGGAAAAAGCACAAGAATGTTACGAAGATTCCGAAAGATTATCTGATGACCGATGAGGAAAAGGAGCAGCTTAGGAAAATTAAAGAAGCTACGCAAGAGCGTAACCAAACCACGTCAGTTGATTCAGAAGATCCAGCATTTATCTCTGAGTTAGAAAAGTGCATATTCGAAAAAAATTGTGATGCTTTTGTTGAGATCGTAGATTTCAGAGATATTGATTCCAGTCGAAGTAGACAATGCGAAGAAATCTTGAAGAAAAATTCTAAAAAAATTTTTATGTGTATGAACTTTATCAGCAATTCATTTCAAATGGATCTTTCATGGACTAAAAACGAAAATATTGAAGTACTGGCTGATATTTCCCGCTTGTCTGTCTTTAAAAAGATTTGCATTTTTGGAAATCCAAAAATTGGCAAATTTTTGCTGAGTAAAAGCATTGAGGAAACTAATCCAAAGTCCGCATTTGAATTTATCAGAATACCGGTTAAACCATCTACACTGTCAAAGGCTGTCAATCTCTCAAATTTGTTTAGAGGATACATTGATATTAAGGACATTAACCCAAGTGCTATGTTTGAAAATTGTTGGGAATATATTGATCAGGATGCAATTAAAGAGTATTATATTCTCGGAAGATTTGATTCCTGTGGTGCATTTTTGGATCTTCTTGCAGAGAAGATGTCGAAAGATTCGTCTAAGAAAAAGACACACGACGAGGCTGCAGTTGTCTTTTTCAAGGATGTTATCGATGGAAGAATTCGCTGGATTAGAAAAAATGGTAATTTCTATTTCCAGTTTACTGGAATAGGAAGATAGCCTTCTCAAATAAATTAACTTTAAGTTAAGGAGATATACAGCTGGTGTTCCTACTGTAAAGTTAACACTTTAAGCAATCCTTTTGTCCAATAATATCAGTGATATCATCTTTATGCTTTTAAGTTTATTCATAATTCAAGTTGATAAAAATTTTGTCCCCATGCAGGACAAGATTAAGCAGCAATTTGCCAAACTTCAACAGGAGCTTGATGATTACACTTCAAAGTATGTTGAAGACGATTTTAGTCTGAAGCTCAGCCACCACAAAAAGATTACAGAGCTTCTCGAGAGAAGAGACAGAATCATACGCGAGGAATTTACACCAGAAGAGCTCAACGAGTTTTATTCAAGAGTTTTTGCAAACTTTGATCCACTGAGGGAGTTTTTTCCGCTAAAAGATGACCAAAGTGTTGATTTTTCGTTTTTGAAGTTTATAAAGGCAGAGTATTTGGACAACTTCAAAATGAAGGTTGTATTGGAGCTTCACGAAAACGAGTACGTTGAGAATACAGTATTGGAAAAGACAATTTATTTGTTTGAACAAGAGCCCGAAACAACAAAAATAATATGGAAAAATGAAAAGGGAAATTGCCCACTTTTTGACTTTTTTGAAAATGAAGACGACGACTTTGAGGCATTTGATATTTTGTATGAATTTTATGTTGATATGCTATTCTTAGCCGAGATGGAATCTGAATAAACCTGGTGAGTTGCTCTACATTTATTTTTATCAGCATGGTGTGCTATCATACCATGTTTTAAATTGAAGGCATTTGTGTTTATTATAATATCTGCATTAACACTGGCTTTGGCTTCATATTAGCCAATTGGCTCTTTGCAGATAATGCTTTTTAGTTCGCCTGCGAAAAAATTAGAGATGGAGCTGTATAAAATAAACTCATTTTAACTTTTAGGCATATACATCGATTTTAGTGTGGTGTCCAAATATCATATCCAATTATTTACAAAAGTAAGCATAGTGCATCCACTATACTAACTGCATCTCTTGCATAAATTGCAAAGTTGAGCAGTTCCTGTGGTGGTTTAACAAATCCGCGTCATTTTAATATCTACTGTGTTATGCCAGTAGCTGAGATGTCATATTAGCAGTATTACTAAGGAAAATCAGACTTGATGCTCTTTTGCTTTTCTTGGATAATTTAATTAGCATTAACTATTAAAACATGCTATAAACAAATTACTTTTTGATTTTTAAAAACGAATTAGAGCATAAAAAGTCACAATCTCTTGCACAACTATATGCAATGTTTAATCGTCAAAGTTTAAGTATTTTATATTTGTTTGCGTGATATATTGGCCATTTCTCAGTCCAAAATACAAATATTGAACGTTCATTGGCTAATTTTTTTATATATAGAAATTTTTTTGTTGGGGGTATGATCCATGCTGAAAAAGGAAAGGTAGTCATGCTGAAGATCCTTTCATGCATATGTATGCTGCAAAGTGCTCTGTGCTTGACCAAGGCGTACGTTGGAATAGATCTTGGAACTACATTTTCTTGTGTTGCGGTGTACTATCCAGATACGAAGAGCTACGACTATCTGACGTTTGGCTCTCCAGATAAGAAGACTATTCCATCCACCATTTATTTTACGGGAGAGGTGGATTCTCAGTCACAGACACCTCTGTATAAGGTCGGATATGCTGCCAACAAGCTTAATGAGCTTCTTCCTGACCCCCATCGCTATCTTGGAGGTTTCAAGAGGATTGTTGGTATTGACAAGATAGAGCAGAAGAGCAGGCTTGCTGGATTTGCTAACGAGGTTACATATCCAATCCGCCACAAGACCGAGGCCGGAAAGGGCTACTACGTAGTCCCAGTTACTATTGCTGGTAAAGAATACGAGTTCACACCCACACAGCTCTCAAGTATGGTCCTTGGAGAAATCAAGAGCAGACTAGATGAATTGAATATTGATATTACTTCCACTTGCATTTCAACACCGGTATACTTTACTACAGTCCAGGACGAAGAGGTAAAAGCTGCAGGAATCAATGCAGGATTTGCCGATCCAATTATCACCAAGGAGCCTATTGCTGCATGTGTCTCATATGTTGATGAGCATTTATTCACTATCGATGTGGAAGAGAAGATTATGGTATTTGACTTCGGAGGTGGTACCCTTGATATTTCAGTGGTTGAGGTTATTAAGGAGAAATCAGATGACGAACCTGGTAAATACGAGTCGAACATTGTTGCGAATAGATTCGTTGGAGACAATTTTTTAGGTGGAGAAAATGTGAACACTTACATTTGCAAAGAGTTTATTAAGATTGCTGAAGGCCAAGGCCACAAAATAGAAACCAGGGAGGATGAGCTTAGACTTAGACTATTTGTGGAGGCTCTTAAGATTAGGCTTTGTGATGAGCAAAGAAACTCCAAAACTGAGGTGACTGTTTCTGAAAAGTTCTGGTTTAGAGACCAAACTAGCATTACTTTCACACTTAGTCATTCGAGATTCAATCAGTTACTTGAACCCATCTATAAGCGCATTAGCCATCTTTTATTTGACGAGATTGAGGGGCTTTTCAAAGAGAAGAATGATTCATTGACTTCTCAAATTAAAAAGGTTATTCTTGTTGGTGGTTCGACTAGAATCCCCTATATTAGAGATCTTCTCCGCTCAGCTTGTAAGAATGCTTCTATCTTCGATGAGATTGATGCTGATAAGGCTGTTGGTATGGGTGCATGCAAGATTTGTGTTAACTCTGATCCTAATTCGGGTGATTCTTCAATCATGGTTCTTGGTGCCGTGCCTCTTCCGATCGGTATTAAGCTGGCAGATGGATCTTTCGAGCATCTCATTGCACAGAACATTTCTATCCCAACAGAAGCAACAAAGACGTTTACTACGGTATATGACAATCAAACTAATATTTTGATTGATGTTGCCATGGGTGTGAGGCCGATGTTTGATGATAACGAAAAGATTGGTAAGCTTCTTCTTACCTTGAAGAATCCGAAGCCTAAGGGCGTGCCACAGATTCTTGTCAAGATTGAGTATTTTGCCGATTATTCATTCAAGATTACTGCTGAAGACTCGGACACCAAGCTGTCCGAAAGTGCTGTCTTTAAGTCAGAACTGGGCAAGCCTTCCAAGGACAAGATCGACCAGATCTTGGAGACTGCGAAAAAATTCAAGGCACAGGACGAAGAGACTGCAAAGAGGCTCGAACAGTTCAGGAATTTCGAAGCTGCACTTTCACAGTTCGAAACACAGCTCAATTTGGCCAAGTCAAATGCTCAAATCAGCCTTAGCGACCTTGACAAGTCATATTTTGAAACGATATTGGATGGTAGCAAGAAGTGGTTGGATGAAAATAAGGGAAATGCAGCTATCACTGCAGCAGTAATTCAGGCACAGATTGAAAATGTTCAAAATGCCTCTACCGAGCTTGTTAACAAGATACAAGCTTCACAGAAGGCTCCACAGCCCGAAGAAGCCGAGAAAGGCAGAGAGACTCTTTAATTTAGTAAATTTATTAAAAGAATGCTTGTTTTTATGTTTGATACAGACTACGTCTTATTAGCTCTTTCCTTAGCTTGAAATAAATAGATGTTAGTACTTGAGAACAGTTGACAAGAATCTGCTTTATAGTCTAAATTTTAATAGTAGTCTAAATATTAGCCAGCATGTGGCTATGACGCTCATACACTGTAGATCCAAGAAGAACAGCTTAACCTAGCATTGTGTTTGACCCTGATGCACATAACTTCTCCAACAAAATCTTATTCGACTGATTCTCAACGGTTACTTCGTTACACTTAACAAGTGATTCGTTCCTCTCAAAACTATACTCAACTATAATGCATTTTCCCTCAATATATTGCAAAGTTTCAAGAATGTCAGTGTCTTTAGCCTTCATGTCTATCACATTGTTGACTTGCAAAATAAGACACCTTTCAGAAGCTTCATTGTTTTTATCACAATATATTCCTTTGTCTTCTATGTAAAATAGTAGCCTGCTCTTAAATATGCAGCAGTTCATTATCTTCTTCTGAACCACCTCGTATTTCTGCGTTGCGATATTAAAAATGCCTTTTTCATCAATTGCACAGATGTAATCTTCAAAGTACTTCAACGATTTACAATTCTTATGGTCGTAAACCATTTCTAAAAACCCCATTTTGTTAATAATGTAGACATTCTGTGAAACTAGTAGATATAACTTGTCCTTGACAGTGAAAATATTCGCCAGATCAAGGCTGCCTTTCCACGAAAATTCAACAGTTTTGGTCTGAATAATTCTATTTGTAAAAACTTTGAAAATTTTTAGAATAACATTCGATTTTCTTTGAACAAATGAAAAACAGATGGACCCACAAACAAAACAGGCTGAATTATCGTCAAGCTTAAATATTGAAATTACTTTCCTTAGATGAGCGTCAACAACAAAAAGATGTTTCTCAAGGATATATGTTATATATTCCTTTATACCACTTGATGGGGATACTTCTTTATGATTCCTTTTATTTTCATAATCAATCAAGTTCATAATTTCCACTTTGCTATGCCTCTTCATGTTGAAAACATCATCACTTCTCTTATCTGAATATGCCTCTAACCTGGAGATTTTATACTCAGAACTACCAATCAAATACACTTTAAAAACAGTATTGCCTACAACGAGATCAAATATAATAAACTCAAAATCAGTTAGAAGATATAGCTTGTTGTCAGAGCAAGAGACGTCTACATATATACCATGGAAATTAAATAAAGGCTCAATTTTCTGAATATCAATGTGAAATCTAACAACATTGCCCTTCTTGGAGATAGCAATTACGTATCTATCATAAACATTGAGATATACTATTTTATTACTCATCCAGTGGTAAAGCCTGTGCTTTTCTTCACTATGAATGTATATTTTGTTCAAATAATCAGCAAAAATTATAGTCTCGTTTTCAGATATGTTTTCGCGCTTGCAACAAAAAGCCACCGGTGCGTTGCTTTTAAGGTCTGGGGATATATTGATTTCAGACTCCTCAAGTGTTAGTAAGTTAAACTTATGGAACCTATAATCTTTTATAAAATAGAGAAACGAGCCTTCAAACTGGTATGCTGAGCTGAATCTTAAAAGACATTTTCCGGCAATGCTGTGCAATGATTTAGATGCCCTGTCCTCCTTCACAAAGAAAAAATCTTTCTCTACTTTGAAATAGTCTACTACTTTGCCCAAAGAAACACTCTTTTGTTCATTTGTTTGTATTGAAATCAGCTTGCTGTTTGTGTAGTCGTAGATCTTATTCTTGAATGCTCTGGGTAGTTCTAAAACTGTTGAATGTGTTTGTGAATTGTATTCAGCATCATATTTTATAATAGAACAGCTTCTTACGATAGTTACGTCTTTTTCAGCAACCAAAAGCTTTCTGTTCTTGTCCCCAATAATCATTCAGTACAGTGGGATGGAAATTTTTGAACAAAACTTACAAAATATGCACTATAAAGTAACAAGCTTACAGTTTACCAATGCTCGTGCTAAAGAGTTTAAATGAAATAGTGCAAACCTGTATATTAAACTTGGTCTTGATGATGTCGTTGTAAGATGCTTCCGATGGCAAGCATTCTAAAAATCATATGGTATAGTATTAAATCAATCTCAACTAATTCATCAAAATGTCGTAGAACAGGTGTCTTTATTAAAAACTAATTTATTGATCAGCATAACTTTCCATCAAAACAACCTTTGCATATGCAAAGAAAATGGCCAGAACAACACAAATTAGTGCCTTTCCCAGTTTAACATGACTTTCAGCTTCAAATAGTTCGTAATTTTTGATATTTGCGTATTCAAAGAAAAAATTAATTGCAAGGAGCAGGAAAACACCAACCAAGCAGAAATGTATGCTATTTAGCATTCTAATAAAAAATGGTATTCTCTTTGGTTTCTTTTCTGTGCTATCATCAGTTACATTTGTACTTTTTGCTTTAGATTCATCATAGACAGCTCTTAAACGAGTCTGTTCGTCCTCAGCATGGAGAATATCTTCAGAATGATCTTCAGCAGTTAACTTTTCGGCGCAATTGCTATTTGTCCGTGTAGATTCTAAATTTTTAGTCTTAGACTCCTGTGACTGTTCGGGACCTCCTTTCATGGGCAGAAGGCTAATCTAAAGCTTTAATGATAAAACGGGCAGATAACTGAAGCCTGTTACTGTGCTTGCTGCATTTTCTATCGTAGATAAAGCAATACATTATCTATCACAATAAATGTGTTAAAACTAATAGGGAATAATCCACTGTTTTAATGTAATGAGGTAGTTAATGCTATTTTATTAATTGAACAGTGTGAATCAGATTATTTGTTCAATACTTCTCATCAGACATGTTTTCAAAGCTTTAAACTGGTAGACTCTTCAATTATCCTCTTCAGCTCAACAAAATCCTCCACATACTTTTTACAGATAGCCATATTAACTGCAACCTTACAAGTGAATGGATCTTTCGACTTCGATAACGTCTCAATTGTTCTATCCAGAAGACTTATCAGCCTCAAGTCAGTATGGATGTCTCCTCTGTTCAGTACTAAAAGTAATCTTTCCACCATTTCTGTGTTTGGTTCATTTTCACTATCAGTTTTAGTTAAACTCATTAAACCCGGCAGATCATTTTTAAAATCTTGCCTTTTCAGCAACTGTACCATCTTCTCTTTGAATTTAGACCTATCCTTTTTCAGGTCGTCTTCTTTTAAGTATTTTTCGACAATACTATATATCTTTTCACTTTCTAACAATGGAACATCCCTAAGCTCACTTGGATAAACTGTGCTATCGAACCTTAAATCATCATGTAAATCAAACCTTCTGCCATCAACACAGCATTCACAAATTACAGGGAATGGTACATAGATGCTCTCAAAAAGCCTTCTATCAATGCTTTCTAGCTTTTCCTTTAGAGCTTTATCACAAATTTTTGAATATATCTCATTTCTATCTTTCATTAGCTGGACAAGTGAATGCTTATCAGCCAAAATTAATTTTTGTTCGCTTGCATTTGTTGTGGTACTATTTTTACCTCTCCTTTTGAATCTGTTTAAAACCAAATTTGGCCTTGCATTTACGTACGTTTTCCTTCTGTCGACCGTTATGTTAGTAAATATTGGATAGTTTAACGTTTTTGAAAACTCTGTATTGCCATGCACAGACTCTTGGAATGCTGGTGGCGATTCGGTCCTCTTTCCATTTAAACCTCTAATACTATGATATTGCACTGTACTTTCTGATTTATCACTTTTTGTCATGCCATCAGTCTTTTTCGTTGGTGTTTCACATAAAGCAAATTGCGCATCATTGTTTTTCTTTAAATTAACAAAAAATTGGGTGAGAAACTCTTTTGAATATTTGATTTTTTCATTTATATCTCCACCCTTCGGTTTCTCGTTTTCAGCTGCATACTTGCCTGTATTTTCAGTACTGTCAGCGTCTTCAATTTTTGTGCGGCACTCAAAATTATTATCAATCATTCTTTTTACGGAAGCACCATTCTCAGTAAAGGATATCGATTTCCTCAAATATAATGATTCCCTGATCAATCCTTTAAAGTTAGGCCCTTTAGTTTTAATCGCACATTGTTTACTGTTATGTAAATCAGATTTCACACATCCAGGCATAGTTACTGGAGAATCACCAGAATCTGCAGGAACTATGAAAATTCTACGTGTGTTTGCCGACAAATCTATAGATCCAGCTAAGGGCTGACTTTGAGTGGTAGTATTTTGATCCTGAATAGTATTTGCTGATTTTTCTACTAAATGCTCAGCCATGGATCGATCTGGTGCATTGCTTATTGGCTGATTGATTAGAGAGTGTTTGTTTCGCTCACTTATACCTTCTTCTATACTGCAGGCCAAAGTCATGCTTTGGCTTTCAAACTCCTTCTTCTGTTCCATAATCCTATGTATACGCTTGCCCTGTAATACTCTACAACTTTTCTGTTTCATTGCCCTAAAATATTGTAAAACTTTGGCCTGCGACAGGCTTGTTGATTTATTGCTCTTACTGTTTTTGTATTCCTCAACCTTTTCTTCAAATTTTTTGAGCGCTTCATCAAACCTCCTGAGCGATTCCATTTGTGATAGGCTTTGTTGAAAATAAAACCTGATTGGAATATTTGTGAAACCTTTCAGTTTCATGGGTTTCATCAAGTTTCATATAAACTGTAATGAAAATGATCAAATATTGATAATAATTTATTTCTCAGCCTCGACTGCTTCGTCATTTTCTCTTTCTGTTATGTAATTCGTTTTGGCTTTACTTTTTCCTGTGTTCTTCCTTAATTCTAATGCTTTTAAATTTTCTTCTTTGGCTTGATTGTATTTTTCCTCAAATAGCTTTGAAATGTCTTCATCTCTAAATGTGGCAAAATAAAGCGTTTTCTCTTCGTTCTTTTCTGCATCACTCTTGTCCTGCAATGCCGTCCAGATCCAGCTATTTTTAGTTTGTGTCGGTCTTGTTAATGGACAGTTTGGAAGAATATAATGATTGCATCCCTTAAGCTTGAACTGATCACGTATCATCATTAGTCTGTACATCTCTGCTTTATCCTTGAAAATGTAAAACTCGCCCTCGCCCCTCGTCTCCAATTTGCTTGTTTTATTGCTGAAAAAATACAGCTTTCCAACTGCATTAAAAATAGACTTCTCTTTCAAAATGTTGTCTGCAAAATCTTGTTGCTTATTGGCAAATGATTTTGTTTCTACGTCAGAAACATCACTCTTCATCTCAGATGATAAAAAAGGACTGGTTTTCTTCTTTGAAGAGGAATCCGTCTCACTTCTTGGCTTGTTTTCCTCTTTTATCTCTGTTCCCCTATCCGACTTCGCCTCTTCACCTTTCGAGCTCATGGGGCTCTTTCTCTTTGAAAAATTTTAAAAGCTATTGACAGAATTCATAATAAAATTTTCAAAAGATCTACAATCAAATTCAAATAGAATATATTTATGGTTCCATAATTGGGGCATGTGTCAATTGTACAAAATCCAGGTTTCACCTACAAAGCTATGCAATCTCAGTGTATAATGTACCCTTGTCCTCGTTCTATAAAAATAACAGCTAATATATTTGTAAAGCACATGGAAGTATCACGCATGGAAAATATCAGGTTATCGATACTGACTAGTATATCTGCATTGCAACAGCCCTAATGACTGTAATCCATACCAAAATAAAATATATAAAACATTCTTCTTGCATTCTGCGCATATATAAGACTTGGTATTAACTGTCAATACACTTCATTTGTATTATTGTTTCTAGTTTATGTTTCAACATTAGTTAAAAGAAAGAAAGCACAAACAGACAATGATGTTTCTTTTTTATTTATTAACTGTATTTGCATTCTTAAAGTCCAAAAGGAAGGTATTTAATGTAAATGTGCTAATTTCCCAAGAGTATCTCAACGCATATGAGCAAACACATCCATCACTCGGTACAGATCTGATGACTATTGCGCTTGCTCTGGAGTCTGCCTTTAACAACTCAACAATGGCTAAGAGTAACGGATACGAAATAGCTTTTGAAATATTCACGCCTGTTGACAATCCATTTTTGGCGAAAATGGGCCTACAAATATGTGAAGGATCAATTTCAAATATTCTTGACCTTTTAAATGATGTTAACAGATTTGACAATACACATCACTACATTCTTCTTCTACCTTGCCCGCCAGTAATGTTTAATGAAATATTCAACAGTGTGGGTATAGACGTGCCAATCGTAGATTATCCATCAAACATTGAATGCTCCAAAAGAATCGCAATTTTTTATGAAGCAAACTACCAGCAACTGTTTTCTTCGTTCTCAAATGCGCTGTTGAAAATAATCAATGCACCACCTTCTGATTACAACACCGTTACCGAAAGTGCCTTGGGCGATGAAGGTCTTAAGACATCTATAACGATAAATGACAACACAATATATAATATTCTGAGCAGTAAATGTTTCCTCAATGCCAGAGGCTAATAAATTAAGTTTACAAATCATCTTAAGCTGCTACGCAATGTAAGCGGAAGGCATTTTACTTATTATTTTCTATATTAATTTAACAAGAGTTTTTCCCCTTTGCCCTTTCCTAGTCTGTTAAGATTGTGGACTCACTTGGAAAAGTAAATCTTTTGGGAAGGTTCTCATCTTTACTTGATGTATCAAGTGTTTTTAAAGGGGAATGGTTGCTGCTATCATTCGCGCTTTTGTGTAGCTCTCGGACTGAAAACAGACCTCCAAATTTGCCGCTGGAAGAGACATGCACTTTGTTTCTCATTTGTTGAAATCGTTTATTTTGATCTAACATTCTAACATTCTGATTTCTTCGACTTACATGGTAATCTCTAACTGACGTTTTTGTTTTTCTGGCATAGCTCTCATCAAAGCCTTTGTCATAGCATTCAAATGCATCATTTAATGTCTGATCGTTTACATCATCTTTCAACTTAAAATTTTCGAGCTCATGGAATTCTGGAATCTTAAGCTTTAATACTGCACCTATCCATTCCCTAATTGCTCTCAGTGAAGAATTGAGAATGTCCTCAAAAACATTAGCATCATTGAGGTTTACAAAGTATCGACCCTTACAAAAGCTTAGCCGGTTAGCGCTGCTACTTTCAGCCTTTTTCATAGCCGAAAATAAAACTATCAGATTATTATCGATGCTTTCGAGTGCAGTCGCTTTATTTTTCACATCATCATTTCCAACAAGATTAGTGAATGCTTTGTATTCGGGTAGTAATGAATAGTCATTGTACGATAAGATTGAATCCAGTCTCATTTCTATTCCCAACGGCGAATAAATAGCATTGTACTCGTCTAATATTTTTGAAATCACGAATTGTGTTAATTTGGGTGAAGATGTTTTGTCGAATTTTTCATAAAGAATGGTAAAATTGATAATTTGGCAGAATATAATATGAATATAGAGAAGTGTTGCCATGTATTTATGTAAACTTGTGCATTTATTTGATCAAGAATAAAAGACGTCAAAGTCCTGAAACATCCTTCAAAATAATCAAGACTGCACTGGCTGAAAGCAGTCCTTGTGATTGTAGATTATGAGACAGTCAAAATCCACTATACTGCTGTGTTAATGTAAATAACAAATTGTAATCCAATTTTTATCGTAAATATATCGAATCTAAGCTGCCTACTATGGCCAGTTTATTGCTATGTTCTTTAAATACACCGTTCATCGATCAAAGATTTTTCACATTTATTAGCATAATACCTACAATACCGATGTTCCAAATCATCCTTGGCTTCACTGAAAACGAAATCTAAAACAATAAATTTGCCGGATTATGTATATAGGCACTGTCTTTTTAATGTACGATTCTGCAATGCGCCTGTTCACCAGCCCTAAAATTTTACCTGTAGTTGATCTTAATTGAAACCGCGCAAATTTTAATGGCCCAGTCCAAAAAGAGGCTGAAATAAAAATACTCCCAGAAGACCAGTATGGTCTCTTCACTTATACAGATATAAAATACAAATACTACAGTACAAAATGTTTCAAATAACGTCTACATAGCTTTCCACCATTTAAAATTACTATAGCTGTGGTCTAAGAATGTTCTATCAGACATGTTAATCGGTGGGAATATTGAATCAATAAACTCATTGATTGTGTGATATGTTCCAACAGTTGCCTTTGAATACTCTGCCTGGATGTGGCCCAATGCATTTACGGTATATATTTTATTTTCAGGTATATCCATGGTTTTATATGTCACTACATCAGTAATCCTATTGCCAAATCCAGCGATAAACGGATTCCTTCCGTTGAACAAACTTTTGATCTGCTTCAAACAGGCAATCTTGAACTCTTCGGGCCTTTTAAGAATAACCTCTTTATATATGGCTTCTAGCACTCCTTCTGGGTTGTGTATTACCGGGCCATCAGGCAGGGTACAATCGTCCTGTGACACTTGCTTCAAATAGCTTTTAGTTGAAAACGACTGGCCTAATGGTCTTGATGTTAAGTAAATAATTCTATAGCCATTTTTCACAATTTTGGAGTATAATGGTGCAATTCCAGAGTGTGTCCAGTCTCTTCCCATTAAATTATACAAATGACCTCTTACATCGCTCTTAGTGATGGTGCCATCCACATCCGAAACAATAATCTTGTCATTTGCATTCCAGAAATAAATGCTGGCATCCAGCTGTTTATTAATGCCGCTAATCTTAAACACCACTTCATTTTTCCCAGGATTTAGATTTAAAGACTTGAGTTCATCAGAATTCAGCGTCAGTGAGAAGCACACATCTCTTTTTAGGGTCTTCTTAGACTTAAAAAAGCTCCATCCAACAGATTTGTTGTATTCCTTCTCCAGAAATTCTACAAGACGATGCTTTCTATTTTTACTTAGCAATATCTCAAAATACATTCTTGAAAATGCTGTAAACGAAATGAAGAACACGTGTCCTGATTCACTCTCAAGCTTTACAGCTGTGTTTTCAGGATTTTCAATGTCCTTGACAAGAAAGCTGTCAAACACACTCTCAAATGATTTTTCAATTTTAGCATTTAAGCATACCGAAAAGCTGATTTTTGGAATTTGCGTGTTCTTGTTTATGATATTCTCCATTATTTGTAAAAGTCTTTTGTAATTTTTCAACAAGTATTCGTAATTTTCTGGAGAACATAACAAATTACTGAACCTAGCATACTGTTTGAGAAGGTTATTGTATACACTGCCATCTTCATGCTTCATGAAATTTTTTGAGAACATCCTTAGTCTTAGATTCTTTTCTCTGCATCTATTTAAAAAACTCTGTTCTTCGCTGCTTAATTTTTTTACAAAATCTAATGAATCTTGAAGTATTGACAAGATTTGAACTTCGGGTGACTGCAGATAATCCATAACCTTCTCATATTCGCATTCATCCTTTACGATCTCCTGTTCAAAAAACAGATCACCTTGACTAGTGATTGTCATATCGATTTCCGTGAGTTTTCCATTTACAATGATGTGCACCTGGTTTCTTGCTGTAGTAAACTTAAGCTTTGAAAACCTAAGCTGAAAGGGACTACATTTCAGCTCTCCGTCTTCTCCTTTGATGACGATGATGTCATTTACACCACTCAGAGTTATTGGATTTATGTTGTTATAAAGACCCGAAACTGTGGTGAATATACTTTTTACAACACCCATTAGGGGGAAATCCAAACGAAGTTAACTCATTAGGAGTCAATAGGAGGCAAAAGTTATATAGGGACACAAACTGCATTAATACTACACTGCCATCACAAAAAATATCCTACAGACACTTTAACATTTCTTTAGCTCATTTGTTTTCGATACCCATGCAGCATGATGGTGCCAGGCTTTCAAAGCTAAAAGAAATTTTCAAAAGAGCGGTCCAGGAAATAATGAAGGAGGAGCAAGCTGTGAAGTCTCTAATACTGTCGCCAACATTCAGAGACTCGTTCTTTAGTGAAACTACAATGCAGATGTCTCCAGAAGATGTAGGCAAGCTGTTCCAAGATATAAAGGCAAGATTTACAGAAGTGTTTAAGGCAAAAATAAGACAAACAAATCTGGATTATAAGCTCAACAATCTTGATAAGGATATAAAAGATGGCCGAATGAGCTATAAAGACATAAAAAACGGAGAATATATCGAAGAGATTCTTGAATCCAACATTGTTGATAAAAAGGAGGAGCTTGTAAAATTTATTGAAAAGGAAATATGCGAGTGTGATCAAGGCATTGTGAAAATGCAAAATGAAGTTGCTGAGCTGAAGGCCAATCTGAAGCTCTTAGAATATGAGAACGAAGAGTGCGAAAGAGAATATCAGATGCTAGTAACTGAAATAGAATCAATTATACATGATTAAATGTATAATTAGCTAAGGTTTATGTTCTTTAAATGAAATCAGACTGTCTTGCAAGTTAGCATGAATCATATCTGTAATAAACTCGTGATATATGCTTTGGCTTTAAGTACTTGTAGTCGTCTGTGAGCAGTTTAATTAAACACCTTGTTAAGCATGGCTTTTGATTAAATATGCACATCTCAAAATAGTCCAGCTGCCATTTCCGCATCTTTTGAAGTGTGCTGCTTGATACCAAATTCTTTGATTCTTTTCTTGTGAGCCTTGGTCTTAAAATGCTGTTCTAATGTATTTTGATCTCTAAAATATACATCGCACTTCAAGCAAGAATAGTTTCCTCCGGCTGGAAGCTCCTCAACTCCTTCGATTAGCTTACCCCTCGAAATGCTCTCTTGAATCTGATCCAATGGTCGCATTCCCCTAATTTGTAAAACTCTCTTTGCATATTGTTTCTTGCTATGTCCTTTTTTGTGTTTTCGTGTTGCTTTTCGAGCCATGCCTAAAAATTTTCACGGTTTTTTGTATTTGATAAGATGAAATAAATACAATCTATACAGCTTGCGGTTGCAGAAGAAGCCAATCTTGGACAGAATTTCATTTACAAATATAGATGTTTGTTTATTTTTATTATGCGTCTTGCTTTTGAATTACACACAGTTAGTATAGTATACTATACTTTTTGAATACTGTCTATCGATCGGATTGTTTTCACACAGTACGATACAGGTATTTTGAAAATAGGCAGGTTCTCGTTTATCAACATTGCATTGAAGCACTTAACTTTTGCTAATTTTCTATTTGTCCACCCCTTTTATCTTCGGCGTTTTAAGCCGCAGTTTCCCCTGAAATATGCAAACCAAAGTTGCTTACGTAGATTTTGTAGAGAAATTCAATGGAATAGAAACTGTGATACGAATATTCGAAACACAGACACATCTGTTTGTATTTGTGAATCAATCGAACACAGAAATACATCTTTACAACGAGTTTCTGAAAAATATTCTAATGAAAGAATGTAATTGCATAAAAAATAAGCAGGTTGAAGTAATTTGTAATTTGAAAAAGTACGACTGTATCAATGAGATAGGAAAACACATATCAAAGATTGTAAATGGCTAAAATTAAATTTTGCTAATACGAAACATTGACTGGCTGTATTGTTAGTAAAGTAGAAAAGAGCTTGTCGTTAAAGTAGTCCAGAATCGGTATCTGCTTCTTGGATTAAATGTTTTCTGGCTTGATATAGATTAAGGGGCGCCATATTTAAACCAAATTAAACTCTAATGCTTTACAACCTTGGGTTAGAGTCTTGAACCACTATTTATATATTTTACTAAAACCCATCTTATTTTAAATATTTACAATCTTTGGAATGCAACGTTTATTCACTCTTTTCTTTATTTTGAATACCCTCCTTCACACCTTTATCTGTGCATTTGTCGCACACCTTGTCTTTATTTGTATCCTTGTTTTTATTTGCATTCCTTTTACAGTAGCTTGGATGGAAGAATATAAGGAAAATAAAGCTTGTGCAGCCAAATACAGCTTCCAAATATAGCCTAAAGCGGCTAAAATATCTACTTTGATAAAAAAACAGCGCAGTCTCGAGAAAAACAGACATGATTGTAAGATTGAACTGTGCTCTTCTCCTAATATACTTCATTCCCATGATTCTTGAGGCTATTACAAAAAACTTAGCTATTTCAAGATAGTAAAACTTTCTATCAAAGTCCTTAAAGATGCCCTTTCTGAAGTCATTCAGATCAACAAGGATCTTTATGACTGAGTAGAGTATTAAGTATTTAGGAACAATACCTTCGAAGTATCCCATGAAGGGATAGTAAAAATTTTTAGAAAAATGCATAGAAAATATAGATATAAAAGAACGTAAAATCCCACTTTTAGCTATGCTGTGGATTGATATAGAATTGGCTGCTAGGTCTTGAATATTCCTTTTTCATTATTTTGTTAGAAAATAGCAAATAATTTGATGCCGAAGTCCGTTTTGGAATCATAGGGTGCATATATAGTTTGGTTAGCCATCTGTTTCATATTGTTTATTTTTCATAGTATTTTTTGATTTTGTCAATATTGATTGATGAATATGAAAATTGCACTGATCGGAAGTGAAAAAGCCGCCCAAGGATTTGAAATTGCAGGTTTGAATAAAAAGGATGGCACGGTGTATACTTTTGAGCATGATTGTGATATTGAAAGACTAAAAGAAGCATTCTACACTCTTATAAACAAAAACGATGTTGGGTTGATATTTATTGCTGAAAATTTATCAGAATTGCTAAAAAATGAAATTAATGAGTATAAAAAGACGCTTCCGGCTATTCTAAAGATTCCATCGAGATTCTAAATGAGAGCAATCCCGTTTTGAAAACTATAGCACTACAGGTGTGGCATTAAACCCATTTATATTCATACAGGACACTGTTTATTGTATCAACCACCTATCAATAAATCCTAGCATTACTGGATGCTGTGCGGTTATAAATTTTTATTTGCCCACCCAGACTATGGCTCAAAAACCAATTAAAAAAATCAAAAGTGCAGTCGAAACCAACAAAATACAAGAAAATCCTAGCCAATCCGGGAAATAATTCACAAAAAATCACAAAGGAGATAAACAAGCGTATTGTTGAAAAGTTTGAAAATGAGTACAGAGTAGTGCAGCAAAAGAAAACAACGAAAAGGGATGGATGATCAATGTATTTCGAAGCCTACATGTCTGTTAAACAAACATGCATTAAAGTTGTTAGTGTTTAGTTCAAATTTTCATACAAACCGATATGCTGATCCATAGTTATATCGTATTGTTTTTATTGTTGATTGAAGTCAATCTATTCTTTAAAAACAAGGATCAGACCCATGAAAAATAGCCAAAATGGGATGGAATATAAACTGGTGTCAGATATTGAGGCATTCAATCTGGACAGCTTCTCTCCTAGGCTAACTCTGCAACAGGATAATATGATCCAACTGTACAAAGATATGCTTATCATCAGGTATGTAGAAGAGTATCTTGAACAACAATACAAGAAATCAAATATAAGGGGATTCTGCCACTTAACCATAGGGCAAGAAGGACTGTATGCGGTCCTAAAGGACATAATTGACCATGACTGTCTAATAACATCTTATAGATGTCATGGAGCAGCATATGCAGCAGGCGTGAATCTGAAAGAGATCATTTGTGAAAATCTTGGGACAGGTGAGGGTAACTGCAGAGGAAAGGGTGGGTCTATGCATCTATATGGAGACAGATTCTTTGGAGGGCATGGAATTGTGGGAGCTCAGGTCCCTTTGGGTGCTGGAGTGGCATTTGCCTTAAAGTACATGGCCATGAATAAGACAGTGACTAATGAGGACAATGATTTTGTTGCTAAATCCAAGGAGAGTTTTCTCAATGCAAAGACAGACAATGTATGTTTTTGTATATTTGGCGATGGTGCTACCAACCAGGGCCAGGTTTATGAGACATACAACATGGCAAAAGTTTACAATTTGCCTATTGTTTTTATAGTTGAAAATAACCGGTATGGAATGTACACACCGCTGGAAAATGTCACTGTTGATGACTGTTTCTTTAAAAGAGGATATGGAATACCTGGTATTAGGGTAAGGGATACAAAAATATCTAATTTGAAAGGCGTTCTTGAGTTTTCAAAAGGATACTCAATGAAATGCGGCCCAATTATTGTTCAGGTCGATACATTCAGAAAGTGTGGGCATAGCACTTTAGATTTATCCAAGTATTACATAACCAAAGATGTTTCGGAAAGAGAGGCTGGATTAGACTGTCTACTAAATCTTGAGAATGAACTTAAAGGTAAAGTCCCTGAGCAGGAATTGAAGAGCATCAAGGAAGACGCATATTTAACGGTCACACAGTGTGCAAATGAAATTGATTTTGAAAACGTGCCAGGCGAACAAGAGCTTTACAGTGATATATTTTTTAAAAATGAATGAACTGTACAATCAGTTGCTTTGTGTGTTAACTATCAAACCTTATATATATTAGCAAGCTAATGCTAGTTTACCGTTTAATTTTTAAAATTAACATGGGAATACTATTTAAAGGCCCACTTTAACAACTTATTTGTGAGAACCCACTACTTTATAACTGTAAAATAGTTACATTTAAAAAGAAACCATGTTGACCATCAATCTTTAGATAATGCATTGTGGTTTAAACAGTTGATTTTTGACTCGAACTTTTCTACTTTTAGACAAAAAGCACTATTCAAAGGAAAACTTTGAAGCTAAAGAAGGGCAAGAAATCCCTAGTAAATAAATTTAAAGGTCATGGTCGGTAACAAAACAGCGCGCTTTACATATATGATTTGTCCCTTTTCTTTCATTTAAATTTATCATTTTTTTGTAAAAATTTTAACATTTTAAATTTGAAAAAAATCTACCCTCCCATGTATACAAGAAAAGTGTGAAGCAGTCACTATTATAGTCATGAAAGTTAATGCATCTTATTTTGTGAATATCATCGGTAGGTGAATTTTTGCTGTTTTCGGGTTTCCTTAGCCGAAAAGAATATTTTTAAGACAATTATATTACTTACCACTGAATAAAACGACCTAGACCATGCCTAGACTTTAGCTATAAAAATATCCTTGCACAATTGCAAGTGCCAAAATCAGACGGTGAGATAGGAAATTTATGCTGATCCATCTTAAAGTCTAGATATAACCAGTAGTTATTAGTGTTGATTGATATTGAATTTTAAAGTACAATAGCTAAGTATCAAGTGCTACATATAAGCCTATACAGTCAGCAAGGCTGGCTATGTGGATAAAACAAAGCATATACAAAATATCCTTTCAATGCAAAAGCATAATGTCTTTAAGGATGGTTGATGTTTATTCATTGTTAGTAGTTTCTGGAGGCTTTATTTCACCATTTGACTTCTTAGCTGCTGTCTTGTATGGCGCATTAGATTTTTGGATAGACTTGAAAGCCCTCTCGGTTGGATCTCTAAAGGCTTCATTGCCATACATGCCATGTAGGTAGCCTGAATAATACTTAGGATATTGCTGCTCTAGTTCATAGCCTATAGGAGGGTAGTAGTACTGATTGGCATATATCTCAGCACTGTACGGATCAACAGAATAACTGTATTGGTTCATATAGTCATAGTAATTATCCATGTATGGTGGATGATGAGATCCATATACGGGCGGGTATTTATAAAAATTTTGTACAGACGTTTCACATCCTTCCAAAGCACCATTTTTATAATACACGTTACACTCCTGACACAGTGCACCGCTTGGAGAATTCTTTATCCCGGTGGCTGGAAAAACATTGTTGCATGAAACGCACAACGTTTTTTCTGTTGCACCCTTTAGAGCTTTTGTTCTGCCTTCTGAATTTACACTAAATGGCCTGGGCCTATTATGAAGCTTCTGGTAGAGTCCACATGCATTGCACAGGAGCGTCTTTCCATTTCCACTTCTTCTCCAAGAAGGCGTAGACGTTGTTTGACAGTTGGAGCATACCCTTTGTTTAGCCTTTTTTCTCAAATCTTTTGTACTTTTAATTTCTGTGGACGAGTCTGGATAATAGATTGGCTGCATGTACTTCGGATCCGAAAAGAATACTTCGTCTTGTAGATAATACTTTGAATATTCCTTGTTTTGGTATTCGTTATTATATCCATAAATCTGAGTCTCTGATGGATAGTATTCCTTCTGAATATTTGTTGCTAGCCGATAAACAGCAGCCACATCTTGGTTGCTATCTGAATTTTTTAATGGTATTTTGTCGGGTTGCCATTTCGCTACTGTTAGTTTTTGAATTGCTGCCGTCTCTTTGATCATCACTACTTCGTTTTTCTTGCATATGGATCTCAAATTTAGATTTTTTAAAGAAAGAATTTTGATATAAAAATTTTTAGGAGCAAACCGAGGAAATATGAAAGTTTAATAGGAATTGAAGCCATTTAGAAACTATAATTAAAAATATATCCGTTTTTATTTTATTTTTTTATTTCTAGAAATCTAGTATCAAAACAGAAATGGAAACAAGTCACTTAAAATTATTTACCAAGTAATTTACAAGCAATATGGCCATGTTTATACAAGCAAATTACGAGTATAGGTGGTGTATTTGGATGTGCAAGCTAAGACAAATTTTAAATGATTAGTTGTCATCTGGTGTAATTCAAAAATATGATCATACCAGCCAGAAAATTTAGTGGCTATCTAGCAATTTAACATGATGGCATATCAAATTCAGATAGACTTTAGACGTAAAACAAACTATATTATTTTTGACACATGTACTTGCCATGAAATAATCTTTATATTATAACTGTCAGAAGAGAATCTGAGGTACTAAACATAGCATTTACTCAAGCATTAATGTTGTTGGACTCATCTGGCTGCAATAGCTTTGTGTCAATTTTACAGATTTTTATAGAAGCTGGCCTATCGTTGAAACTGATGGGCTGCTTCATTGGCCAAATAAACCTGAACTACTACTTGGCTTACTTACATTTTCGCAGGCTTTCCTGCTTTCTCTTAAATTAATCACACTATCACTGAAAATATCACAATTTATTTCATCTCAATTTTTTGAAAAAATTTTCTCACATCACAGACCACGTCAATAATCAATTGAAATGATTCAATTTTTGATGGCAGATCGCCCAGAGATTCAAGAGATATTTTTTGGATTTTAATCTCGGATATAAACTCTTTATCAACCTTAAATCGAGCCTTTTCAATAATTCTGTCAATTATGTCGGAGAAGGTAGCTCCTATTTGGTTTAAGTCAAGTCTACCGCTGCTCTCAATATTAGTTCTGAGTAGATCCAAAAGACCTATTATTTCCATGATTTCATCATCGAAACACTCGATCTTCAATGCAGGTATTGTGGATTTTTCAATTACCAAGGACATTATTTCTCTCAACTCCTGTTTTATTGTTTTTGATTTTTCTCTAAAGCTGATCGAGTCGTTGGAAAGTGTTGAAAGAATCTTATTTCTGTGATCTTCAAACTTTTGAAAATCTGATTCCTTGAAAATTTTTGTCTCATTTAGTTTTTCAAGAAAAATGTTAGGAAACGAAAGTATCTCACAAAAATTAGAAGCATCGTTGGATATTTTACCATCAACAGCATTCATTACATGCGAGACAATCTTTTCATCCGTGCCTTGTTTTCTAGTATATTCCAAAAACTCCTTCAGTTTATTGTAAAAGTTAAGCTTTTCAAGCTTTGCCAAAAACATAGCCTTTTCAGAGTCTACCTTCAACTGATCTATGAGAATTTTCATGTTTTCAAGAAACTCAGGCATCTCCTCCATCTTATATTCAGGATTCTTCAAATAAAATACCGTCAATGTGTCTATCACCAGATTTTTGAATTTATGGTCCGAAAGCTTCATGAACTTGTCTTGAATCTTGCTATTTTTGTTGTATTTCATTCCAGATCTTCTGTGTATTTCATTAGCTATATCTTCACAAAGCTCTTCGAATTTCTCATCCTTCAGCTGACAGAGTCTTTGAATGGCCTCTCGCTGCCTGTCATCCATTTCAAAATCCCTTCTCGTTTTCCCAATAAATGATTGCAGAGTATATCTTACTACATCCTTGTTTGTCGGTTGACTCATATTTTACCTGACATTCCTTGCTATATTTTAAAACATGTAACGTTTCAAAATTTACTGTGTTTCAATATGGAGTCCAGTAGTTAGATGTTGGTGGGTAAATAGAGTGTGCTTTTGCATCATATTAGAATATTTCCTATATACTATGTAGTATATTTTAATAATGTCCTGTCGATCAAGTGGCCTACAACTTTCATTCATATAGGATCAGCTGTTGTAAATGTATAGAAAACTACATTTGGTAAACTGCGGATTATTCCCTTCAACAAAGGTATACCACCTATTTTATAATAAAATTTTTTTCTTCTTATCCGATGTCCTTACCATTCACTGAGAAATACCGGCCGAAAACACTCGATGAAATCCGTGGAAATGACGAGGTTATTGAATGTCTCAAATCTTTTAACACTGAGGACCTCCCAAATATGCTGTTTTATGGACCACCAGGAACTGGAAAGACCACGGCAATCAAGGCATTGACCAGAGAACTTGCTCATCAGAACATTCTAGAACTGAATGCTAGCGACCATAGGGGAATTGATACAGTTAGGACCCAGATAAAAGAATTTGCAGGTATTAAGCTACTAGGCCCTAAGATTATTGTTCTTGATGAGGCTGACAGTATGAGCAGAGATGCCCAAGCAGCAATCAGAAGGATAATTGAAACTAGTAAAAATACGAGATTTTGTTTTATATGTAACTATTACAAAAAGATTATTGAGCCCATAGTGAGCAGATGCACAAAATTCAGGTTTTCGCCAGTGAATGGAAGCTCAAGAATAAAGGAGGTTTGTCTGAAAGAGGACATCCCCTTCGATGACGAGGGAATAGAAATACTAAATCAGTTTAGTGATGGTGACATGAGGAAGGTGATGAACGACATTCAGGGTATTAAGGGATCATATGGAGCTTTGAGCATAGAAAACGTGCTTGAGTTTTTTGGAATGAAAAGCGACGAAGTATTCGTTGATATTTTTGATTCTTTAACAAAAGATGATTTTAAAAGATGTAAAGAAAAGATAGAAAAGCATGATGTTGACAGTACGAATTTAGTTACTAAAATATCAAAGCTGCTGGTAAATTCAAGTTTGAACAAAAAAATGGAAATATTAAAGCTACTTGGCGAAGTTGAACAAAGGCTTACTGTTGGATGTAGTGAAAAAATACAGACAAATGCGATTATTGCAGCATTTATACTCAACAGACAGGGCTTATAAGTAAATATATTCATGTCACTTATACGTATTTCTTAAGATCGCCATTTTGATATATTAACTGATCTGAGATGCTGTGCATTGCCCACTCTTAGGACAGATAGCAAATAATGACTTCATTTGTACATAAATGTGGCCTCATCTTCCAATTCATAGCTAAAATGTCTCTGGTTAAAACATTTTTAAATGCTTTGGCTGAAAATTTTTAGTACTCCAAAATGTCTCGAAGGAATGCTGAAGAAAACCAACTTAGTGAAGAGAGCCATATTGGAGGTGGGAACGACATAGCAAGTGTTTCAGAAGACAATCCAACTCATGGCATTATAGACGACTTGTATATCTTGAAGCACTCACTAATAAAGAACAAAAAACTTACCCCTCAATCAATTTCTCATCTCAGCCAAATAGAAAATATAATATCGGAAATCCCGGAGTTGAGCAAGAATCTTTACGAATGGAACTTTCTTGAAAATGAAATTTTATACTTTTTGAGAGCTATGCATTTCAAAATGTCTCTGAGGGTAATCACAAAGATTGTCAGCATCACAAACAAGGCACCTGGTTTGTATTTCACAAAGAAATTTCTATTTTTTATAACCGAAAAATTATATTTTGCAATGGGTGGATCAAAAATATATAAGAAAAACAGTATTATTAATATGCGTCAGAATAGCATAGTGACTTTTAGTGATAAAACTATGAAGAACCAAAACTTAGGATCTGGGGACATAATGGTTTTTGACGAGGACAGTAGTAATGGCAAACTTGAGGATGATAGTTCCTTTCAAGAGATGCTTGGATTTGGCGCGCCCAATGCGAACTTTACAGTTAATGAAATAACCAGATTAATTATGATTTTTATCAGAAAGCTTATTGAAATTAACAGAAATGTGGTTACGCTTCTGAATGAGCTTCTCTTTTTTGAGCTTGCAAACGTATGCATTTGTGTCGAAACTGCGCAATTGTTTAACTCCATCTTCGTTAATATTTCGTATTCAGAAGTTCAACAGATTGAAAGATCTCGGGCTCCTTGGCAACAAGACGGGTTATATGAAGTAAGAAGGAAGTACTTCGAGCCAGAGGTATTTTTTAGAGCAAAAGATATATTCTACTCAATCAAGCCGGTTGAGAATTTTAAAAGTGGGATATATAAGCAAATTTATGATCAATGCACAAATCTAAAGGATTTTGCGGATTTATCGTTCAAGGACACAGCTGACATCATGCTATTTAAAAGGATCGTTTACATGAGTGATGAGCTAGATTTGTTGATTCTTGAAGGCAAAGATCCAAAAGTCGTTAAATTTTACAGACGATGCTTGGAGGCAGGGGCTGTGCCTGAAAAATCGCATTTAAACTCAATTATAAAAGCAGTTGATAATTCAAAAACAACCAGGGATGCATGCATTGTTTTATACTATTTTCAAGACTATCTTCTTAGTTCTAAGCCTTTTACTGAAAATCGGATTAGGAAAATTATTCAAAATCTTGAGTATCTTTGTGGATCTGAATGTACTCAGAGCAAATCAACTGCAAACAACTCACCCTCCAATATTGAAAAGAAAGAAGTTATTCCTGTCAAGAAAACAAAGATAGAAGAGCATTCTCATTCGTTTGATAGCAATCTTTGTACAAATGACATCTTTGGCGACAGCTGTAATAACGGGCTGTTTTGTACACCACAAAACATAGATGTGGATACAAAAGGAAGATCAAAGGGCATATTGGAAGACTTTAGTGAATTTGAAAATGATTTTAGTGAAAATAAAAGTAGTCTCGGCAATGGCCTTACTATTTCAAATGATCTGTGCGAAAGATATAGGATACTGAAACTGCTGCAGCACGTTTATCCGATAGTCAACCATCAATTTTTTTATAAACCATCGTATCTCATTCTCTTTAGAAGTATGTTTGATCATGTCCCATCTATGCAAAGTTTCATCATTGAGTTTTTCACTGATTTTATTAGAGTTCTAAAATTAAACAAGATGAATATAGCGCGAATATTTTTGCCTGTGTTTAGATCTGAAAAGAAGCCAAAGACGAGGGAAATCAAGTTGGAAGAACAGTCGAGTGAGTATCTGGCAGGAGCAAATAATAATGTCAGCAACATGCCACTATTCAGAGTTAAAGGTGGTGTAATTGAAAGTAGTGAATTTGAGCATGTTGGGAGCTTAATTGATGCTCATAATAGTGAGGACGATACATTGCTGCCTTAATAAATTTCAAAATGTAATACTGCTTTTGTACGGCTAATATTCAAGTATCATCGCTGATGCTACACACGCATTTTGTAACAGTCAAATGCTGCTATGGAGCTGCACTTATGTATTTCTTTCAATAATAGATATTTTAAAAGTACGAAACATTCGTGTAATATTTCATTTAATCATAAAAAATCTAAAGGCAGATCTTTCACAAGCATACGAGAGAACAACAATAGAAACGCACAGTCCAATAACAAATGTAGAATGCTGATCAATATTGACTACACTGATCAGGTTATTCAAATCTGGATGGAAGTTCAAGAAAATATTTCCAATAAAGCCAATAATTCCAAGAAGACTGAGTCCCAGCATCTTATTTTCAACAAGATCCTCTCTGAATGGTCTTCCAATGTAATTGCAAACTAAAGTAGAGACTGTTTGGATACTCGATATAATAAAAAGAACGGTATTCATAACCGAGGGCTCGAATGTTACTACAGGCTTCGGTAGGGAAATATTCTTGTAAACTAAATAGAGTGAAGATACTTGGACAATAGATTGAGATAAAATTGAAAAGAACATGTATGGACTGAAAATTGAGGTGATTGGGCGTTGTTTAGAAATAAAATCTAACGCTTTTGGCTGAGTAATTGCTGTGAATCCTATTGATGAAAGCACGCCGATTGAAATCATCTGAGGATCTGAAAACTTAACTCCAAGCACATCAACAAACATGTAAAAGAATGCACTGATGATTGAATTGATGGCTAAGATCTTGTACATTTGAATTGTCGTAACTAAACTACTTCTACCCTGCTGGATTATTTCAACTATTGATTTCAATGAGTCACTTTTGACCGTCAAAGGGGCTGCTATTGATGCATCGCCTGGTTTGATAGATTCTAACGTAGCCGACTCTGCCTTTACTTGCTCAAGTAATGTAAGCGGTTTCTCAGCCCTTGGAATAACAACCTCCTGTGGCTCTAGCATAGCTACCCCTACATCGGCAGCCTTTAAAGCTCCCACGTCATTTGTGCCATCACCTACCATCATAGTATGAAATCCAAGAGATTGGTATTTCTTGATAATAAGTTCCTTATGTTTTGGCTCAGCCCTACCAAATACTGCATAGCGGACAAATTTATCAGATTCAAGTGCTTTTTCGATATCTTTTCCCTCTACGCCTTCTCCTTGAATATTCAATTGCTCTGCAACATTCATGGCAGTAAGAAGATTGTCTCCTGTAATCATCAATACTTTCAATCCTGAATCTTTCAAAATCTTACACATTTCCCTAGAGTACTTCTTGAGAGAACTTCCTAGCAAGATGAAACCACAAAACTCCATATCTCTTTCTAAGTAGGACCTATCGAGCAACCGTTCGTTAGACAGTTTCATATCATTAATATTAAAGTAGCGACAGGCCAAGGAAAGAACTCTAAATCCTTGAGATGCAAATTCTTTGTATCTTTCATACTCCTTCGGAACATCTGCAAGGTACTTCTGAACTTCTTCTGGCGCTCCTTTCATACAGAAGAACAGCTTCTTTTTGTCTCCCTCTAGCTCAGCTACTACGCATTGTCGTTTTAGTTCGGAACTGAAGGCGAATTGCTGATGAACTTTAAATGGTATTTTCTCAAATTCATAGTTGCATATGGCAATTTCAAGGGGATCGCCTTTTACTTCACCATCAACCACTATTAAATTATGGCAGCAGGAAAGAACTCTGTTCGTATTTTCATTTCTAAACTCAATCTTCTTTACTTCTAATCTTGAATCTGTCAGGGTGCCTGTCTTATCAAAGCAACAAACATCTACTTTGCCCGCTAATGTTATTCTGAATGGCTCAAGACAGTATATTTTCTTAGACATCAAATTTTTAACTGCAGACTGGACAGACATTCCCATTTCCATTGGTAATTCAAACGGTATCGTGTTGGTAAATAGAATGATAATATCTAAAAATAATGGATATCCAGTCTTTTTACTGTAAACAAAAGTAAAAAGACAGTTGATAATTGAAATAAGGCTTAAAAGAAGAATAAATCTAAGAGCTTCAGGATCATATTTTATATCCTCGGATTGTAGCATTTTGTTGAGCAAAATGCCCTGTTCGGTGTCAAACGATGTTCTAAGTACAACACAGGTCAGTGGGGAGTAAATCTTTTCAAGCTTGGTACCGGCAAATAAAATGTGTCTTCTGTGCTCCTTGATATTTAACACTGAATTAGATCCAATGATCTCCTCTTTAAAAAGAGGAATGGACTCTCCGGATAGCATAGCCTCATTAACTGCACATGATCCCTCTATGATGACAAGATCGCAAGGGACATAAACAATAGAGTCAATTAGTATCTTGTCTCCAGGCTTGAGTACGGAAGAATTGACAACTTCATTGGCAATCTTGGTTCCGTTGCCCCTGCTGATTCTTTTAGTATCACAGGTTTTATGTTCTAGTTTTCTAAAAATTTTCATAGTTGTTACTCTGCTCAATACAAAAGAGGCTTCAACAAAAATGATCATGGCAGTTGAAAAAAGACTGTTCATTACGTGTTCATCAAAGCACATAAGCAATGAGCTGAATATCTGAAAACAGAATAGTGGAGTAACACACTGCTCCTTGAACATCGTAAAGAAGTTAGGGCGTGGAACCTTAAATTCGTTTGGGGCAAAATAGTCGTAATTTTCTATCTTTATTCCGCTTCTCAGATCTTTGAAGTCTAGCTCAGTCACAGGACTCAAACTGATAGCTTTGTTCTTCCGAATGATGTACTTTTTCCTATTTGAGAAGAATGACTCAACACCATTTCTCTCTCTTGCAACTTTATTTAATCTGTTTTCAAAGAGTATGTAATCTCCATCTTCAGAGCTATTAAAACATTCAAAAATGAGTATTTTTGTGCTCCAGTATGTCGCAAGAAAAGACAAGCCAAAGGCAAATGACAGTACAATTGTCATTGCCTTGTGTGTTTGCTTGAAAATAAAAAGAAGACCCAGCATGTAGAGAAATATCAAATATGAGTGGAAGAAAAAGTTTCTAGATTTGTATCTTTTGAGATCTGCAGTCATTAGGGTAAATTTTTTAAAAATACAAACTCGAGTTTTATATAGGAAAATTATAAACAAAGAACTCTAGAAAATTGCTATTTAAGCAAAAGCTCATGGGTAGTTTTGGCAAGGAATACATACAACTCCCACATGTTTTGCAGGAAGTAGAACCCACCATGCACTGTTTTCCTTGAAGCTATACTACAATAATATAGTAAATATATTAAAAGCACAACTTGTGGCAAAAATTCAAGTTTTAATCACACCTTCCTTTTACAGACCTGACGACGCACTTCCCAGGAGATAAAATAATGCATTCAGCACCCCACCCACTCAAAGCATTACGATCTACTGCATTTAGAAATGCCTGAATGCTTGTGGTAAAAAGATCCTCCTCGTCCATGTCTTCTCTATAAAGCGCTTCACAGAGTCCTATCAAATTTGTCGAGGCTGTTCCTTCGGCAACAAAGTTTCCAGGCTCTGTCTTACATCCAAGTGAATCCATATCACATACATAAGGCTTGTTTTCGGAATCAATGCCGGCAATGACAGATGTGGTGTAGAGCGGAGATCTCCTGTGAGAATAAAGTATTGCTGACGCTAGGTTTGCACATTCTTTTGGCTCAATATCTCTTCCTTCCATCAGTTTAAATAAGGAAACGTGCTTTTCTATCTTCTTTAGCAGATATTGAGCATCAGGAATAAAGAAGGGTAAGCCCAAAACAATTCTATCTGTGATTTTGAAGACTCTTCTGAAAGATTTAGACGTGGTTATGGGTCCATTTCCCAATCTATAGTCACTGACAATGCTTACACATCCATCCCCAGCCATTGCCAGAATGGATCCACCATAGAAGCTCCCAACATCAGACATGGGGTAAAACAACAGAGATGCATGTAAGAAAAAACGAGAAGATGCCAAGCTTAAGAAAGTTTCACAATTATTTTGCCAAATGAGTATATTAAAATTGCTTTAATCTGCTAATATCAAGCAGCTGAGAGTAAAAGCTAAAAGGACTAATGGTGAATAAAGGTATTGATGCTGGATTGGTTCTTTGTTTTATTAGCAAGTTTAAATAAATCCTTATTGACACCCTCAAATGCTGGGAAGATGGTCAAAGCCTCTCAAATACTTTCTTATTTTCTGTTGTAGAATTGTAGATATTCCCTCAAAGATATTTATAAAGGACCATTCAAAAGAGATCTTGCTTCTTAGAGACTTTAAGATCAATGAATTCAATACTTGCCTTTTTAACATACTTTGTTCCCTCGCAGATCTTCTTTTTTCCTTGAAAGTGCGGTCTTTTGACTACTTCCTTCTCAGCTCCCTGTTCCCAAATGATCTTTCAAGCCTTGAGAATTTTATAATCCACTTCAAAATTCAGGAACTGTATCCCTTTTTGTGTTTCTATGAGCCTTTTTATCTTCTCAAGCTTCCCAGCAAGTTTTCAAACCTTTTCCATTTAAATATACTGTTAGGCACAAATCTTATCCGTGGGAGATCCGTAAGTCTACTCAATTCTCTTTCAACGGTCTATCTAAATGGTCTTAATTACTGTCATTTTCCAAGTCTTAGCGGATTTTGGTACCTCCTTATGTGTATGGTAGAGCAGTACTCAGGTCTTAGCTACACTTTAAATCTGATCTATGGCAATTTTCTTTCAGATAAGGATCCTCGACTTATTCCAGTGTATAAGAATGGGTCTTCTTTTATTAGCTATCTTCCGTTCATTTTGAAAAGCAAGTTTCTCAATCTTTATTTTGCAATAGCTCTTGTCTTTGAATATCTATACATGAATTTTAAATGCAGTGAAATCGTCAATACAAACTTTCTTTACTGGACTAGTCTTCTATTTGTTAGTCTATACATTTGGGACCTGAAATTTGGATCTCTATCTAATGCAAAAACGGGTAGTCAATGAAACTTTAATAAGCTGAAAAGCGATTCACAAATAGCCATGAGGCCAAACAATAGTCTTAAGGCTATGCCTGCTTCTAATAAATACTGAGAATGCTGGCGCACTTGGTATTTTAGATATGAAAATAAACAATACTAAAATATCTGAGAATCCTTGCATTTTAGTACATCTCTAGCATTAAAGCACACATATCAAAGATTAAGTCTTGTTTTCTATGCCCATTCAACTGTTTAGTTAACTGACTTAAAAATCTTTTGAGAACATATCTTAAGTGATAAACTGAGAAAAGAATACTGAGTTTACACAAAGTAACTCCTTTATTCTTCTAACTTTGTTTGTGGCAAAAATTTTTAACTAAAAATTTTAGACCTCCTCTAGCGCAATGAGTGTTCAGAAGAAAACAACACCGATGACCGGAAGAAGATCTAACAGGCGACGGGAATCTTCGTCAAGTGACGAGACAACCGATAGTGAGCCAATGTCTGATTCTTTTGAAACAACTTCTTCTGATGACGATACTTTGACTAACTCATCAACTTCCGATGTCACCAATGATAGCGAAAGCGACACATTGACTGAATGTTCTGAAAGTTCTAGCACTGGTTCTGGAGAAGGATCAGGCTCTGATAAATGCGATGAATGTGGAGAAGACAAATGTTGTAACGACGAGGACTCTAACTGATTAAACTATTTTCCAGGCTTTTATTTTTTCATGTTTTAGATCTACCTACTATTTTAGTTATGATAGACGTATACCTGTTATCTGTGCTTAGAATTGCTGCATTCAAAGTCTCAGACGCATGTTGGTGTGAGTCTTTTAAGCCCCAACAAAAACCTGCACCAAGACAGGTAGATCCTAAAGACTCCGAAGCAAAGTACAGTAATGCAGAAAACACAACATTTCGTGATAGTTAAGTTCAGTAAAGCTTTTGAAACGCCTTTTAAACAGTGCTAAAGACTCTATTTATTCTTAATCAATGGTCTATTAATACTACATCTTAACAAAGTATATAATGATGATAAACCTATGCTAAAATAGGTATAATAAAAAGAAGCCTGACAAACCATCCAACTTTTTAAATCCTTGCTTTTCTTCTTTTTTCACTATCCTCTTGCATCTTTCTCTTTCTCTCCTCTCGTTCTTCGTCCTCAATCTTCTCCAGTTGTTTTTGATAGAACATTGCTTTCTCCTTGTCTTTGCTTTGCATGGCATCATCTCGCTTTGCTATTATCCCAATCTTCTTTTCGGTATTTGTCTGTTTCTTAGGGTTGTCTCTTAGTTTATTTTCAATTGTTTTATTAACTTCCACGTCAGTCAAGCTTCTTGAAAATTCGTGCTGAACCTTCTTATACTTCTTCTTTAGATCATCAAATGATTCTATTGAAAAATCACTGAGAAAATTTTCAAATTCCTCCACTGTCATCGCCGAAGAACTAATAACATTTGCCTGCAGACCCTCAACAATTTTTTTTCCATTGTCAACATCAAATCCAACAGTGCACATTTGGCTAGTCTTTGAAAGAAGCTTATAAGGCTCAATACTTCTTGTAGCCATTATTTTACAAATAACATACTTTTTATTAATCATGGCTCTTACAAAGCATCCTTTCAGGATTCCTATAAAGGGCTTAAATATATTGTTTATGATCATGTCTCGGGGAAGTATAAAATCGCATTCTTCAAATTTTGGTGTATGTCTTGGCTCTTTTGGTATGTCTTGACGGTCTAATTCTTTTAAAACACAGCTAAGTTGGCTATCGTTTATTTTCTTGAATCTGTCATGAAGGATCTTTTCACGCTGAAGTTCAGGAAGGGAAAGAATACGTTTCTTGTCATCTTCATCAGCAAAGAGTTCTCCCGCTTCCAAAAGCTCATCGTAAGACTTCATGGGCAAAATAAAATAAAAGAACAAATTTTATTTGCGTGAAAACAATAAATAAAACCTGTATGAAAATTAAATTTACTAAATAGTAAGTTATTAAATATGTTACGTAGAGTGTATTGCTTGCAAGCACAACTAGCTTCTGGTTAATTTGATCTTATGAGATATGAACGGTATCCAAAAATACGTTTTAAATCATAGTTTTAGATACAACCAGCGACAGCCAAAACCTCGTATGTTTTTATATTGCAATAAGACAGCTTTATCGTTCAATATTAGTGACCTGTCTATTTATCTAGCATATCTTTCATCATTATTTGATGCTTCAATGCCTTAAAGTCATTCCTCTAACCAATATTCTTTGTATTTCCGCGAAAGTTTCTTCTAAAATCATCGAAATCCTCGCTTTGCCTTAATTTTTGAACCTCGCTGCCTTCTTCAAAATGTTTATCATTGTCTAGGCTTCTATCGTTGCTTCTTGTACTAATTTTTGACTGAAGCTTTAATAAACTTTCAACGTACTCATCCAAGGTCTGTGTTGGATCAAGCCTCCTTTTTAACAGATCCCTGCGCTTTAACTCAATAGGATTAAGATGTCCACATGGCATCAATTTATATATCTGTGTTGGGGTTGCGTTCTCCTCTGGAGGATTGTCTGATAATTTGTGTATGCTATCCTCATTGATCAGTGTCCTAATTAATAATAAAGCCTTGTAAAAGCAAAACTTCATCATCTCCTTCAAGAAATCCTTATCTTCCCAATCAATGTGATCAAATCTAAAGTTCATAATTCTGTTATGTATGTGAATTTTGTCATTTCTGGCCAATTTTCCCGATAGAATATCAGTATAAACCCTTTGAGGATTAAAACAGTATGCATCTGAAGTCACAGAGTATTTCATGCCAGGCGTTTCCATTTCAGAAAGCTCAAAATTGCCACTATCTTTAGTCTCAAAAACATCAAGTTGAATGATGCCTTCAACATACTTTGCCAACTTATGCATATCGCTATTGAGTAGTCCGCTTATAAATGGCATGGTTAAATACACAGCATCTTCCCTATTTAAATCATTAAAAAGCATACTGCTTTCAATCTCTAATCCCATATTTGACTCCATGTCGTCTTTCAGCAACTCCTGTGTCTCAAACATTGATATTTTTTCATTTTTAAAAATTTTGGTCAATAGTCTTTTTAGAAGACTTAGACTGTCCATCTTCTTTATTTTGGGGTATAAAAATTACACTCAAGTAAATATGCTAAACTCAATAACAATGAAGATTCTGAACAGCCGCCATCCTCAATAACCTCGTTATAGCCTCAGAAAAATATAAATATTTTCCACCATCCAAAATGTCTTTAACTCTATAACCAAGTTCATTCTATACAAACGAGTAATATATGAGCATATAAGCAAGAAAGTATAATAACTTCCATATTTAAGCTGCTTAAAAGCGTAATATTGGAGACGGCTCTTCATCATTTAAAATAACAAGTTAGCAGTTATCTAGATAGTATAAGCACTGTACTATTTAATTTTAATCCTCTAACAACTGCAAAAATTCCTCTAATTTACTGGAATGTGAAACATTTTGAGAAAGAAATTGCCTCAGCACAATCTTTTCAAGGCTCATTGTAAAATTTGAAAGTGAAAAATCAAAACTAGCATCATTTTCAAGGCTATAATTAATCTTCATCAGATTAGTTATGTCTCCAAACAGCAGATGGTTTTCTAAAAACATGCAAAAATGCTCCAAGCTATCCGGTGAATATCTTGTTGAAAGATATAAAAGCCTTTCGTTTGGTGTTGTGTTTCCGGGACGTGATGGTCTATTTCCCAGATATCCTGAATTCAAAAATTTTAATAAAAACTCGGGCTTAAAATCACCATTTAAAAACACATGGAAAAGAACTTGGACGGTTCTATTAATTAACGGATGCCATACAACCTCATATTGAAGTTTTTTTACGAAAAATTCAGAAAGTGTTGATACCTTTGGAATATCAATACTCCTTGGAGACTCTAAAATGGCCTTAAATAGTTCAATCAGCTGGTTCATTGTATATGATTTGTTTCTGCCAAACATAATGTTACTTAACGATTTGGCCCCAATATTGCATTTAAAAATTTGCTGGTAGATTTTGTTCGAGAGCCTTCTACCAAAGGCATCCTCAATAGTTTCTGACGAAACGGTTGGTTCAATCGGCTGAATAGTGCCATCAAGGCACATAACGAGGCGATTCTCAATAATGCAAAACCCCTGTCTATACTCACTGAAATACTTACTTTCATATGACATTTCATAGTCCTTGGAGGAGTCATTAGCTAGCGTGTTCTTCTTCAAAAGCTCAATAACCTTTATAGGATCAAAGTCGCTGGCAAATAGTGGATAGGTAGAGCAATATTCACATCCACTAAGCAATGCAAGTCTTCTAAAGCTCTCCAAGGTCAAGTTACATTCTCGAAATAGCACTTCTCTATCAATAACATCAATTGTTAGATTTTCAAAGTCTATCTCAACAACAAGCTTGCTACAATCAGCAAATAGGAGTGCATCGTTCTTCTAAAAACGTTTATTTTACATGCCCTCTCATAAAATATGCGCATTGAGCAGCTGCCGAATACGGGGCTCTCATGACTGAAATTCCATGTTTTCTAAGCTTTTCAGTTACGACACTAACATACAATTCCTGATCATAGAATCTCTTATTAAACCTAGAAAATATTATTTTATCGGAGGTATCTCTACAGAACGATCCTAAATCAATGGAGACTGGTTGTCTAAACTCTATTCCATCCCATATCCAGAGAACTGATGTCTTTCTATTTAGCTCTATAACGTTTTTAAGGAGCATGTCTATTGTGAGTGAAACATTTAAAAATTGCTCCTCGTTAGAAATGGAAAGATATTTCTTGATATACCAAAAACCATCGATAGCAAGAATGGCGTTTTCGAGTGTGCTTATTGGAAGCTTCTGAAGGGCTTTTTCGTGACCATAACTCTCAAACATACGAATTGGCATCGGGGTAAATTTTTGCAAGAAAATAAAAGAAAAGGACGTTAAGAGACCGTGCTTACTAGTAAAAGTAAGTTATACACAATGAGATAAATGTCGAAAGGTTTGAACATTAGCTGTTAAAACATGCAGGTCTAGTTGTTGTATTAAAACCAGTTTAAGAATTTAATAAGAAGCTACATATTAATGATACAGTTGTTGATTATAAGACTGGGTTTATTTATTCCTATTTCTTTTCCATAAACAGAGATGTAGAATGTAACAGTATAAGACTATGAGTATATTTCGACAAACACAGTTTATTCATAGGATTTGATAAAATGTCTGATAAATAGTGACACAATAAGACAAATCAATTGAGACTGTTTTGGTTAGCCGCTGTCTTTTCTTGTTCTAATTTCTTCGGTTTCCGCTCAAATTCGTTAAAAAAGAGCTCAATCCTCTCGGGATCAAACTGTGAAAGTACAATGAACTTAAAAACTGTGTATATTTTAATACGACAAGTAATCCATTGGTACTTACCAATTAATATTAATATTAAAATATGGATGGACTGATACGCCGTAAAAATACTTTGAATGTTAACAAAGACATTATATTTAAAGCCATTAGTACCTGGAATGTTGCACTTATCAATCAACTTGAACCACTCAGTCAACAGATTCTTAATGAGAGATGTAATGGAAGACATCTTTAAAGTTATTGAGCAGCCACTTTCTATGTATAAAGCTTTCAGTTCATTTAGCAATTGGTTTTTGGTACTTTCATCTGTTTCATCATCTAAATATGGCACAACGTATCGTCTAAATAATTCAAAAATGTCTTTGTGCATCTCAAATATATTCCTTTTGAGCTTTTCAAGAATGGCTAGAAATCTTTCATTGCTAGCTTCCCTGCTAATATTTGAATATGATTTCCTCACCATTTCCATGAATTGATCATGTTTTATGACACAACAAATACAATGGTAGCATGTTTTGTAGTACTCTGCGTATTTACCTTCGCCGTATATTTCACCTACTTTATCCAAAATAATCTTTTTTGACTTTTCAGAAGTTAAAATTAAGAATGCGTGCTTGAATGTTTTAAAAACATCCAAATCTAGACATTCTTTTATAGCTGTATTTGTTTTAAAATATAAACGTGCTTCTAACAATCCAGGGCCATCTTGATTGATTAAAGCTTGTTCGTTATGCATAGAAGTATAACTAATATTATTGCCATGTCCATGTGAATGAGGCGATAGGTCCTGGTTGATCTTAAAATTGATATACTCCATTATACGTGAAGCACATTTAGGTAAAAGAGTACTTATATAAAAATATATAAAAAGCATGTTATTTGGCGCATGTTCTGAATTTCGGCTAATTTTTTTGGCAATAAAGAGTCTGTTAAAACAACTCCATAGATTAATCTTAGTATTAATAGATGTATAATTGTGTCTCATTTTTGACCAGAAATGATCCATGGTTAAAACATACAGAGATTGACCTTGAGCAGCATAATCTGGCATTTTTGCTTGTCCACTATTATCATTGGGTTTTGATGGCTGTCCTCTGTTCATGGCCATATCATAAGCTGCCTGAAACTTTTTGTCATTAAAAATTTCAGCTCTATGACACAGCTTCGCATATCTTTTACCATTAATCGTTCCATCTGTATCGTAGATGCCATTGATTGGTGAAGAAAATGCGAAGCACCTCCGAAGCATTTTATCTAGTTTGACATAATTCTGTTTTGCGGAATCTGGAAGTACACAGTCGTTGGTATTTTTTAGTCTCTTTTTTGTACTTTTAGTACTATTTCCAGATACAGTTGCTGGGCAGTAAGGTGTTGATGGTTCACAATTTTGAGAGATGGTTTGTATATAAAAATTATTAATTATGCTCGTATTAGGTACCACTTGATATAGCACTTGAGGGCAATGCAATAAGTTGCTATGAATGGATTGGCTATGCAAGCTAGCATTACTAGGGTTTATTAGATGAATTTGTATGGGTTGAACTGTGCCAGATTTAATTGTAGTAGCTTGGTCGATGCGGCTACGCTTTGGCTGAGGCGGATTACATGCTGAACTAGTGGATTCTGAAATGATATGATTTGCATCATTACTAACGATCTCAGAATTGCTTTGTGTCGAGAACCCCTCATGACCATCCTGCATTGCAGTATCATTGACGCTGTTTTCATTAACTCCTTGCGACTCAATGATAGCACTGCTCATTGGCACTGTATCAGCAACTTTTGAATTGTCTTTTCTTGTATTTTGCAGAATATGATTGGAGGCATCAATTTCACGGTTTAAATCAAGATCCAAGCACATGGCATGCTCCGAAAATGTGTTAGTATCGTCATTGGATTGGTTGAATTCTTTATCTCCAAACACAATAGCATTCAATTCATCTAACGGAATGTGTAAATGGCTACCTGTTTCTATAATATGATCTACCATTCTAGAAACAGATTCGCTATTAGAAATGTGCTTGGATCCACTAATTGAAGTGTTGGGTAATGGTATGTTCTGAAGGTTGTCTTGGCTAGAATAACTGGCAACATCTTCACCAAGCTGCATCTTTGAAGTATCCATCACTGAACAGCCGCTTATATTTATCAAAGTGGTAAACTTTGCGATAATATACACTGTAATTTTCAATATCCGGTGTTTCATTGAGGCACCACACTGTCAATTTTTTTTTGAAAATTATAAGGCTAATTAAGCATCAATCAACTTCAAAGCTTAAAAAAGATGTGCTAGAATAGTTACAAGTATGTAGGAAAGCTTTGAAACAACGGATACTTTATGATTCTGAAAACAGACTAGGAAAATCTTATCAAAAATTATCACCATTAATTTAATGCTCCCTGCCAATAACGTTTAAGTTCATGAAGCCACGATGCAAAACGAAATAATAGCTATTAGAATATGTTAAGAATAATCCTTTAGTTATTTGTGTTCAAATCTGAACTGCTAGATATCAACTGGTAGCTTTCTTTCTTTATTACAATACCATCCTTTGCAGTTTTCAAATAACTATAGATTTCTTTTCCACCATTCACTTTCTTGGTTGCTTTAATTAGCGCTTCTTTATCATCAACTTTGCATTCTTCCACAGTCCATCCTTTATTAATAAGGCACTTTTCCAAACTACCTGGACCTATGTCTGAGAACAACAGC